TCATCATCTAAACTTGTACCTCCGAGTCCCGTATGTTTTTCCTTTTCAGGAAATGGACCACATGGAAGGAATAATCAAGTGCTCGAGATTTCATACTTCAAAGCTCTAACACTTGGGGGACTATATATATGGAAGGCGAAGAAGACTAGAAAAGTCAGAATTCGAGTCAAGCCTGAAGCAATCTACCCAACAAATCGAAAGTTAAGAGCGAGCAAATCAAGAGCCGAAATTCAAGCCTGATTCAAAAACCTATGATGAAGTATACACTCGCAGATGTAAATTACAAAATCTTACGAGTAACTAGGTTAAAGGCCATATTTATTCGTGGGTTGCAAGATATACCCTTGAATCTTGTAAAATATGTTATAAAGAAAACAATTATGAAAGAGTTGTAGATGTTATTCGAATACATGTAAAGTATACAGTTTGAAAGTTCAAGAATACAAAACTTCTTCAAGTTATTCTAAGAAATATGTATATTCCTACTTTTTCTTTCGTATGTTTACACCAATATGAAGTTGAGACGTCTTCTTTATTAAGTGTCGTATATAAAAGGGTCCTCTTTCATAATTCGTGCTTATTCAAAAAGAGTGACGAAGCATCGAAGCATTTTTTAATGCAAAGTTAAATAACAAAGGGTAAAACAAAAACCCAAACATTAAAATAGGCGGAAAATAAAGCCAAAAACTTATAAATATAAGGCAAACATTTGTCTTCAAAACTCGAAATAAGGCAAGGTAAAAAGATAAGAGAGTAGAACAGAAACTCAAAATGAAGGTACTATAAGAGTTAGACAAAAACTCAGTAATATTATAAACTTGGTTAAAACTAAGTATAAAACTTAGTTCTAACCTAATTACTTGATACTAAAACCCCAAAAAACGTATTAGGGGTAAAACTTTTCAAACCTTACTAAACCCCCAAATAGGACCAGGGGTAAACTTCCAAACATTCCACAGATAAAAAAAAACGAAACAACACTTCAAACTTTTCAAACTTTTATTGTGGGGCAGAATCTGAACTAGAAGGATGAAGAATGGCATCATCAATAGCAGGAGGAACAACTTGAGCGGAAGGAGATTGAACAGCAGCTTCACTAGGAGTAACTTCATCACCTTCGGGAATGTCAACCGCAGGTGAAGAAAAGCTCCGACTCTGTTGAGTTTTCACAATAGTCTCTTTAATCTTTGCAATCTCAGCAGCTAAGTCAAAGCCTTCCCGGCTTGCCTCCATTAAAGTGTCGAGGTGTTTGTTCAAGAAAGCCCAATTAACTTCAGTAGCAGCCTTATCTTTAAGGGCTTCATAATCTCTTTCCCACTGCTGAATCTCACCTTTTAGCTCTTCCTTCTCATTCAAGGCAGCATCGTAAGAAGCCTGTAAGGGGGCAAGTGAACTCTCTAAAAATTGAACTATGTTAGCAGAAACTGGAGATCTTCTTGAGCTTGGGTGAGCGTTTAAACAAGCTCCCCGGCATAAACTTCTTTCTGGTTCAGTAGTTCCTTCAGACTCCTAATTTCTTCAGTGGCTTTAGAAAGTTGCTCAGCAAATGAAGACTCAAGAAGGTTCTTATCTTTGCCCCCCTGATTAGATGAGGCTTTCTCAACTGCCAACTCAGCTGCCATTACTTTCACCTGTTGCTCCAAGGTACACTTTTCTTCCTCGAAGACTTCTTTCTCAAGTTGAAGACTAGTGAACTGCTCTTTCCAATTGTCTGCCTCAATGTGATAATTGTTCATTAGCTGCTCTGTGTGGACGATCCTCTTCATCATCTCCGTGCCAATGAAGTTGATCTACACAATGAAAAAGAAAATGTGATATCAATGAAAAGGAAATCACGTGCGAATAAAAAGCTAAGGCTTATACCTTTAAAGATGAATGTATGATATCATTCATCCACGTTAAAGAATTGTGGCTCTCCAATTTTGACTTCTCAACTGGGCCAATCAATGGTTTCAGCCATACATCAGCTTGGCCGGATATCTTCAGAAGATTGCCATCCTCAGGAACCTCGATGGTAACTTTTTTTATTACCCTACTAGAGGAACGAACTTCAGCATTAGAAGTTGTAATAGTAGGGACAGTCGAGGGAGTCAAAATAGCCACGGGCGGAGCAGTAGCAGTAGCAGCAGGTGCGGGGAACTGAGGGTCAGCTGAAACAGACGCGGGAAAAGAAGCAAGAGGCGTTTTCTCAGAAACAAAGCCGAAGTCTTCACCAAACCCACGAGAAAAGAGCTATTCAGTAGAGCCACGTGGTGCAGCAGGCATCTCATCATCAGAACTTACTAAGGTAGCACCTTCGGGCTCGTGCATGGGAGCAGAACTAGGAGGAGGAGTAGCTTCATCATCTAAAATGATACGCCTCCTAGCTCGAGACTTACGAACCAACGAGCTCTCCTCCCGATCCTCTTCACTCTCGGAACTGTGTGCTCTATCAGCTTTTCTTTTTAATGAAGAACTCAAGATTATCTCTTGAGCCATCGAATAGAGAAAGTCTCGAAGCAGTAATCGATGCAGCACTCACACCCTGAATGGGAAACCCTAGTAAAAAAAAGGTTAATAAGTGCCAAAGTAAGTATAAAAGCAAGGAAGAAAGTGGAAGAGAAGGATTCCATGAGTCTTCACTTTCCCTCCAAACCTGTTAGAAAGGTATTTCCAGGACGTTTCTTCCATAGGAGCAACTGTCAACAATTTTTCTATCCAACTAAAAGAATAAAACAGCTATGAGATTGAAGGTTCTTCACAAAAAAAGAAGAGGAATGGAAAATATGAAAAGAAACTTACGTGCAAAGTTCCACTTTTCTGGAAAGGCATGTTCTCTTCTCCCACTAACCCACTTGTGGGAGCAGCAATGAATCGAGCATACCAACCACGATCCTTGTCATCTTCAGGGCTCACTAAAACCTTTTTACTCCTGGCCACGAGAGTAAACACCCCAGAACGAAATAACTTGGGGGAGTAAAGATGAATCAGATGATAAAAGTTGAAGGGTAAAGGAGCCAAGTTTGACAAGTATCTAAGGCATGCCATGGCCCTCCACACAATAGGACCAATCTGTCCTAAACAAACGTTGAAGAAACGACAAAACTCTATGATGGCTGGTCAATAGGTGGTCTGAAACCCAACGTACAGGGATATGTATACACAAAAGAATAACCAGCTTTGAACGAAGTGATCCTTTGATTTGCATTAGGAACTAAAATTGGGAAATCATGTTTCCAGTGACAATCTCTGGGCACAAGGGAAATCAAACCCTCAGTAATCTGGGAAGGGTAAACATCAGCACGATCACGAGAAGTCATGGAAGTGACTTGTTTTCTAATCGATTCTCTATCAGTAAAGAAGGAAAGTTCAGCGGGAATAATCTCATCAACAGTGGGTGGGTTCACGAAATGGTTCACTAGAATCCCTACTTCTAACAGCAGATCTATGTGAAGAAGAAGCCCTAGTTCTAGAAGACGACGGGGTAGTGGTACTGGGTTGAGAAGAAGAATCACGGATAGAAACAGATCCTAAACTACGTAACCTGCCACCTCTTCTACTTCTAGTAGGAGCAGACGAAGGGGGAAGTTCATCCACTGTAACAACTTTACGGGGATCAGGATTTGAAGAAGACATAGTTGTATGAGCAAGTAAAACGTGATGAAGAACAAGAAAGAACAAAGAACACAATAGAAAGTTTTTCGTAAAAGCAAAGGCAAAGGAGGTATTTATATGGAGAAGCAACCGTCATGTAAAGGGGGTCATGAAGGAAAAGTCATGATGAAACAGTCACTTCATGACTGATGCAGCCGCAAAAAAGCCCTAGAAATCGCTGAAGAATCGCAGACCCAATTAATGAAGGCCACGTGGCACATGCATTAAATGAAAGTGACATACGGCGCGTTGGTTCTGGAGAAGACGTAATGGTACATGGGAAACAGCGGCAAAAATTCGCGACATAAATACATACCACTTCCCAATTATTCAGTTGCAGAATATTCGGCAAGTGGGGGGACTATCTGTAATGGTAAAAATAAATATTACACGTGGATTTATATGAGTGGTTGATATGACAAGACACGTGGATCAGTAAGAAAGCGACAACTGGAAAGATGCATTAAAAGAGGCACGAGTCGTAATAGATACGAGCAAATCAACCACGAGAGGAGAAGATAAGGTCACTCAAGTTTAAATGATTACATGAAGAGGTACCGCCGGAATGAATCAAGACATTAAAAAGGAAAGATTCATGAATCATCAGTTAATGAGCATGAATGATCTCGAACGTTACAGAATCTTCATAAACAGTTACGGTTACCAATTATAACGTCTCATTAATATCATTAATGCTCATAATGATTCGGTCATAAAAGGGAAAAGACGTTGTACTTATAGACTCCTATAAAAGGGAAAGAGATATCCGTTCTGATTACTATTAGAATAGAATTACTTTCTTTTACTTACTATTGGCTATTTTTGGTACCACATATTTTAATTTCCTTTCTTATCATTAAGTAAATTTAGAATTTCTTCGTTATCAGAAGCCCGAGTACTTCTTAAAATAAGCTTTGACCGAATTACAGAATTTTTGGTTAAACGGTGCTAATTATATAGAAATGTATATTATGGAAAGAAATGGTTGAAGAAAGTATTCAAGCTATAGTTGGTTTGAAGATTGAAGGAATTCTTGAAAAGTTAGTTGATAGGGAAGCACTACATAAAAGTTTAGAATTTGAATAGTTTAAGGAATTCGACTTCTTGACTTTGTGATAATTGTTTAGATATAATGGTGACAAACATTGTAGCACATACGAAAATGGTAAGAGTATCATATAGATTGAGCACAAGCTGATTCAGACACGTATCATATAAATTGTGACGGAGTACGCGTTTCATTATCTGTTTGTGATGCAACTGTATGTATGCAGATGAAGGGTTTTGAAAGTAAATTGACTTTTTCCTTCTTTTTTAACTGCATTGTTGCTTGGAAATTGAAATTTTTTTTTAATGTAAATTTGTAGGATAGAGAAGGGAAACTAGCATCAGGCGCCATCGCGAATCTAGTTGACGAAGTCGGGGGTGCTGTAGTCTTTGTGGAGGGTCTCCCAATGAATGTATCTGTGGACATGTCAATTTCATTTCTTTCAAGTGCGAAGGCCGATGTAAGCCCCCCTCATTCTTCCTATCGTTCAAGGATTCATCATGCGCAAGTCATGCGAATACAGTGCTGAATAACAAAAATCCGTCAGCTATATACTTATTATGGTTGCTAATAAACTAGCTGATTAGGGTCCTCTCTTTCAACTTCAGGAAACTAGCGCAAATATAAGATAATAATACTTCATTTAAACAACCTACGACTCTTCGAACGTTCACAATTCATTCCCTAACCTTCATTCCTGAAGGTTGAAACTACTAATAGTTCTTGAGTTGGGTCTTTTTGCTTGTTTTATTTGTATTCGGTATTCAAAACCTAAAGTGCTTTGACATGTTTAATGTTCTCTAAAGGAAAAAACACTTCATACCTGGAGTTTCTCATTCTCAACATTTAAACTTGAGCGCTTTAATTAAGGATGGGAAGAATCTGATCCATCACACAATCAACTATTTAGCAATCAGGTACGGTATAGATTCCAAGGGAACGGTCACATCTTCTAATCCGCATCCTAATTTGGTGCTATAAAACTTAGATACGTTAAGCTTTGTTTGGGTAGTTAAGTAAGAACAAGTATGAATTTGGATAAATAGAGGGAATGGAGGCATTGTGAGTTAGTAGAAGTGATGGTAACAATTTGACTGCACTATAAGCACATGAAAGAGTGGATGTGAGATGCGTGGTGGTATCGGTATATTGGTATGAGGAATGTTCTGGGATGGTTTCTGCAAGGGAATATAGGGGATAGAACCACCCCCTTTCCACTACACTTAGGTTTAAGCAATTGGCAACGGCTCATGACGTAGGCTCTAAGTTATTCAAGTTGTTGCTTCTAGATAATGCCTGAATGGAGTAATAGATCATTTTTATGTGACCCTTCCGTAACTAATGCTTTTCGGCATTGCCCGTATATGGATTTTATTTGCTTATATGCCTAGTTTTGCTGCATATGGGAAAGAGTAGGAATATTCTCTCTATATTAACTTTATGTTTTGTATTTCAAGCATCAAAACAGGTTCATTTTTACTGTTGGATTGCAGAAGAGCACAGTGCAGCAAGCCCCCTCCACCTCCCCTTTTTCTTTTTAAAACTGTTTTCCTGTATTAGTAAATACTGCACTCAACTTTGGGGAGTGGAGTTTATATTTAAAGAAACAGGGTAATCTTAAATCATACTTAGTTACTTGCCTCTCCAGTATGAGTCTCCAATCAGTTTGGTAGGTAGTGAGGCACTTCACTTATTGCTGCTTATCCACCCAATTTGATTTGATTTTTGTCAGTCCTTTGTGATAAGCTAACACCATGAATTAAGCTACTAGACTTCCGATATGTTGTTTATCCTGCCTTTGATCACTACCATCTTTCATTTGGAAATTCATTTCTGCTTTTCGTCTTTCTTAATGTGCATTGAACCTCTACTAATGGATTTCAGACTTTGTTATGTGTTTCTTTGGGGTGGGATTTATGCAGGATGAATTGGAGATCGTTGGTCGAGTCTTAGGTCAGAAAGGAGGTTATTCTGGAACAAATGTACTTGTGAAAAATAAAGCTACTGGGGAGCTCATTGCTGAGGGGCGGCATTCACTATTTGGTAAACATGCTAGTAAAATGTGATGAAGTATTTTTCTTGACCAAGATGCCTCTTTGAAGATGCGGTTCAGTTTCTACTATCTGGTCCATATGTTTTCTTCTTAGATAAGTAAGTGGTAGTACATAGTTTTTTTTGTTGCTGCGATAACATGTATTGAGCAGCATTATGCCTGTGAGGAATAAGTGCGATGTAAATATTTGCTTGTTAGTGGAGATGGATACAAGATTTTCATTTGGTGCCGAGTAGCCATTGAATTTGTACTCGCACAGAGTTCCTAAATTGTTGGTGCATTAAAAGAGAAAAAGTTTGTGATTGAGGCATAATACACAGAGTTGGTAAATTGTTGGTGCACTGGCATCCGCTGCCATGAGATACACCATTGCTGCTTGGTTTGCATGTTTTTAGCTTTACCTTGGCCAAATTGGTCCAGGTTCTTATACGACAACTTGTTCATAGCTATATGCAAAACCTACCCAACAGATACAAGTAACAGGAAAACCATTATCCTTTAACCTGTCACAAAACTGATGAATGTTTACTACCACCAGCAGATAAATTTCAGTTAATTGAAATGGATGACTCGAGAAAAATATGGCATACCATAGAATGAAGGTCAATTCGCCATATGTTATCATATCAGATGAAGCCAATCTTATGTACTTACTTCAGCAGAGTACTGATAACATAATAAATACAAACCATATAGTTATTCTACCAGTTATGCAAACTGAACGAGAAATGCTTACTGAGATGACTCGGTCTTTGCACCCATCAAATAGTATGTTTTTGGGAAATTTTCACATAAGAACAACCGGGTTCTCTACTTTTCAATTTTATAGCCATATTTCACTTTACAACCAACTAACCCAAAAATAATAAGCTATTACTCAACATTCAACTCCAATAGGTTCTCGAAATTACTATTTAGTTTTTAAAAAAAGATTGCTCAAGCTTTTAAGTTAATTTTCGAATCAGTAACTGTAACTCAAATATTAGTTCAACAAACCAAATCCATTTGGGTGGTGAAAATTAGATTTTTAACAAGCTTAATATGTGGGTTTAAATTCCGAATTTGATTTTGTGAGAATTTTGGAGTGGGTGTTATTTAGACTTGTTTGAAAGAGTATAAGGAGGTTGTATTATAAAATTTGAAGTCATTTAATGGAGATTTGGACTGTTTTGAACAAGAATTGTAACTGAAAATCGTGAAAGAAGTTCGTCTACAGACGCTTGTATAAAGATGTATAAAAGTGTATAAGATGTGTTTTACACTCATATACACTATTATACATAATTATACAAAAAACTGACTTCGTCTTCTTCCTTGCGTCTTTTCTGAAATTTAACTCAAATCACTTCGAATTTAAATTTTGAACTCTTTTTGACGTTTTCAATCAATTAGAACAACACCCAATCCAAACAACTAACAAACCCAAAAATCCTATTTTCGAAAGCAAAGCTTTGAATGGCCTTCAATGGTAGACTTCTACTCTTCAATTTTCGTACATTGCAAACAGGGGGAGAAGTAGAAAATACACGGCCCCTTGAAGCATATGTAGAAGATGTGAGAAGAAGAGAGAGTGAAAGCAATGGTTGTGAGAACGCATATTTAACTCCATAACTTTTAGAAACAATGGTTGTAAGAACATTTTTGAATTTGCTAGTGCTTTCAAAATATATACAATATGGGTTAGGTCAGGTAAAACTTAAAAACATGGGCCATTTTTTGTTATGGTGTAGAGTCATGTGTATTTTCTTGTAATTCTTTCTATTTTTTTTCTAACCTTAAAAGTTACAAATTAAAATGAGAAAGACATTCCTTGTCCTTATTAAGTGGTAAATATGTTTGTATAAACATTCGTATTTGACATTCATGTTTTGTTATGAACAAGCGACATTCATGATGTTGTTGGAAGGGTCAACTCATTACTCATCTAATATTTGTTTTAAAATGTAAAGAAAGAAAATGTGACCGTTGACCAAGATCTGTGTTTGCATAGATTTCTCTTCTTCATCAACATTTCATAGTATCATTTCTACGTAAAGTTCCTTTCTCATCATCAATTGATTGCACAAAATCTATTACACTTTTAGAGTATAAGGGGAAACGCCAAAAAGAGAGAAGCAAGTGGATAAAGCGAAAGCTTTTCTTGAACTAACCCAAGTAAAATCATAAGCCATCTCAAGTTTATTATTGGGAAGTTAGAAGAAAAACTTTATTTTCATGTTGCATATGATTTTGGTATAATATTTTACAATATCGATATAATTTATATAAGATACCAGCTATTTTGTAAGATCATAAGCCATCTCAAGTTTATTTATTGGGAAGTTAGAAGGAAAACTTTATTTTCATGTTGCATATGATTTTAATATATATTATACAATATCGATATAATTCATATAATAATAGTAAATCAAATCTTTTTTTTATAAATTATAAAAGTTCAAGCAATCAATTACAGTCCTGCTAAACGAATGTTAAATTATTACGTTGAGATGCCACCAATATTCTTAGGTCTATCTCAAGTTTAGATTGATTTATATTATTTATAGCGGTTGAAATAATGTTTATTTTATAAATTTGAATTAAAGCAATTTTAAGTAATAAAATAAAAGTATTAAAATAATTTTAATTTAAGGAGTATAAAATATTTATTTATATAATATTAAAAGAAGAATGATATGCAAGGACATAAGTGAAAATCTAATAAATAATCGTATAATAAGGTACTAAGCAAACACAAAGAATATGGAACAAACAAAAAAAGGTATACGAATAAAAAAGGAAAACTTACACAAATGTCCCAAATATATCTAAACTTACCAGCTCTAGCCATTAGTCATAGACTTATCAAAACTAGCCAACAAAAATTGAAAAACCAAATAATAGGATTCTTTCTCTCAAAGAATCACATGCAAAAATCACTTTCCATATTTTTAAGCGTGATTAGCAACATTAGATACAAGACGGAAAGGAAATTTCATGGACGGGGTAGCAAATATGGTGATGAATTACAAAATCTATAAAAATTAATTTTCCAAAAATCTAAACAAAAAAAGAAAATTTTTTCCAATGGATGAGTAATGTTGAAATTACATTGAAAATAATATAGATAAAGTCAATATACAAAATTAGTAGGAAGGATTGGAGGTGATTTTGACTGGTTTTGTATCAAAATTCGTAATTAAATCGAGTTCAAAACAGTCTTCTGCGACACATGTATCACACATGTATCTCACACACAGGCATACATGGATATACATGTGATACACAATTGATACAAATATGATACATATGTGATACACAAATGATACACAGTGTGAAACACATATCATTTTTTCATGTTAAGCATTTACTTCGAATTTTCAATTCAAACCACCTCAAAATTTCGCCAAATCATCCCAAAACTGAGATTCAACCTCCTTAAGTTGTGCCCAATCTATTATAATAACACCCACTCAAAACAAAGCAAAAAATTGATATTTTTTTGCTACAAATAGCTAATTGGCTAATTTGGCTAATATTTGTAATATTTTATCAATTGGCCAATTTTTGTAATGAGCTACTTATAAATGGACATAGCTGGTAATTTTCCAATAAAAAAATCATATATATATATATATATATATATATATATATTATTGGGCTAAAACGGCCCAATGACACTCTTAACATGGTGTGATATTGTCCGCTTTGGGCCAAGCCCGCACGATTTTTCCCAAAAGGCCTCACACCATTAAGATATCCCTACACCTTATATGTAGACTCCCAATCTTTTCAGCTACCAATGTGGGACTTTGTTCGCACACCCAACAATCTCCCCCTCGAACTAAGTTCCACGTGACCCACTACCACGACCCACGGGTCAATTTTCGAGATTCATTGTGTGCCATCCACATTGTTAGAATATTATGGCAACCGAAGCCCGCAACTAGCTTCTTCTTGTGTGTGCACCGACCTGCACCATCACTCCGCCATCTCCATACTCGTTCCGCTGAACCTAGGCTCTGTTACCAGTTGTTGGGCTAAAACGGCCCAATGACACTCTTAACATGGTGTGATATTGTCCGCTTTGGGCCAAACCCGCACGGTTTTTCCCAAAAGGCCTCACACCATTAAGATATCCCTACACCTTATATGTAGACAAGTTTGCTCCAGAAAAGTTTGCTTTCTGGAGTAAAACAAGCAAAGCTGCAAATGTGCATATATTGTTTAGCAAAGCAAACCTTGAACGACGATAAATCATACAACAAATAGAAATCTACCAAAAGAGACACAAACATTTAACGTGGTTCGGTCAACTGACTACGTCCACAACGGAGATGAGCAATCCACTATAATAAAAAGAGAGTACAAAATATCGAGAGAACAACCTCACGAAGAGGCAAACACAAGTGACAAACTAATACTTGTCCCGTAAAGTTCTCCTCCTAAACAAGACTCCCAAGCCCCCTATGGCTACATGGTGGATGCTACTGAATGAGAAGGAAGAATCCTCAATTTATAGAAGTCCAAATATTTTCCTACAAGAAAAAGGACTAGCCAAGTATTGGAGATTTATAATTTCCTTTTACAAAAAGGAAAACCAGTTAAGGTAATTATATTGCCCTTTTCCTTCAAGAGATAGAAAAACCAAATATGGTAAGAAAATTATGGCAAACACCTAACAATTCTCCCCTTTGGCCTGAGTTTTCTGACAAAATAAACTTGATCCACCTTCTTCACATAGCCTTTAACAGGTCGCATCTCCAAATCTCCGCCAAGAAGTTTGTCTCAACGTGCGTCGCACACCGGTCAAATTTCTCAGACAAAAATCACGATTATCGTCAAATATGTTGCGGCTAGAACTGAACCCGCCAAGATGAACCTGTCTTGAACCTCACTCTGATATCACTTGTTCATATTCGCCTCCATTCCGTAACAACCCGGATAATTAACCAAGGCTCTGACACCACTTACACTTGTTAGGACCGAAAAAGCAGGTGTCATGCGGAAGCTAGCAAAGCAAACCTTGAACGACGATAAATCATACAACAAATAGAAATCTACCAAAAGAGACATAAACATTTAACGTGGTTCGGTCAACTGACCTACGTCCACAACGGAGATGAGCAATCCACTATAATAAAAAGAGAGTACAAAATATCGAGAGAACAATCTCACGAAGAGGCAAACACAAGTGACAAACTAATACTTGTCCCGTAAAGTTCTCCCCCTAAACAAGACTCCCAAGCCCCCTATGGCTACATTGTGGATGCTACTGAATGAGAAGGAAGAATCCTCAATTTATAGAAGTCCAAACATTTTCTTACAAGAAAAAGGACTAGCCAAATATTGGAGATTTATAATTTCCTTTTACAAAAAGGAAAACCAGTTAAGGTAATTATATTGCCCTTTTCCTTCAAGAGATAGGAAAACCAAATATGGTAAGAAAATTATGGCAAACACCTAACATATATATGATATCAATAATTGAGTTTGTTATGAGAAAGTCTTTGAATTATGATTCAGCAAAACATGCTTTACGGATAAGATCATTTAACTAAAATCTTAATAGATGTTGAATAAAAACAAATATAATTATGTAGATAATATTAATAATAAAGAAATATTAAATATATGATATTGGAAACAACGTATAAGTAGTTCCATATCATTATTTATTAAAGGTAAAATACTAGATAAAAAATTAACTAAAAATATTAATAAAAAATGCATACAAGAGGATGACAGGGATTATTGTGCGGATATTTTGATAAATCTGCATATTCATGGTTATGCTTATCAATCGTAGTATCAAAGAAAAACAGGTTCGCCAAAATAATGGAGTATATATTTACTTGTTCGTCCAGTTTACTTCACGTGAAACCCGCTAGTCCAAGAGAGACAAGGTTTTCGTCCAATCCCTATAGTCATCTCTCTTTACCCAAATTTCTCTTCTTAATCAGCATTTCACATTCATTTCTGCATTTTTATAGGAAGATACCCGTTATCAATTCGTTGCAGACATAATTAACCAAAAACTCAAGAACAATCAGGCTTATAAATTGAGGGAAACGCCAATTCTACAACCAGACCGAGAAGACGAAGCAAATGGATAAAGCAAAAGCGTATCTAGAACCAATCCAGGGAGAATCGGACCGGGTTTCGTCCCTTGCATTTCATCCTCACCGGGACGGCACAGACTATAGCTTCTATGAGTATTATGCGCTCAGAGGCATCCGAGTTGACCGAGTTGAGCCGGGTCAAGTTTTTTGCACCTTCAAAGTTCCTTCTCGCCTCACTGTATGACATTCCCCAATTTACCCTTTTTTCCTCTGTCTGTGTTATGTGCTTCTCATTTTCAGAGTTTAAATTTTAATTAGTATAGTAAATCAGAGTTCTTGAATGTTGTGATAATTTTATAGAAATGTATATTATGGTAAGAAATGGTTGAAGAAAGTATTCAAGTTATAGTTGGTTTGAAGATTAAAGAAATTATTTAAAGTTAGTTCATAAGGAAGCACTACATAAAAGTTCAGAATTTGAATAGTTTAAGGAATTCGACTTCTTGACTTTTGTGATAATTGTTTAGAAATATAATGGTGACAAACATTTTTGCACATACAAAAATGCTAAGAGTATCATATAGATTAGCGCAAGCTGGTTCACCATCCTTATCCCGAAGAAGAAGAAAAAGCATCATATAAATTGTGACTGAGTACGTGTTTCATTATCTGTTTGTGATGCAACTGTATGCAGATGAAGGGTTTTGAAATTAAATTGACTTTTTCCTTCTTTTAACTGCATTGTTGCTTGGAAATTGAAGTTTCATTTTTGTGTAAATGTAAATTTGTAGGATAGAGAAGGGAAACTAGCATCAGGCGCCATCGCGAATCTAGTTGACGAAGTTGGGGGTGCTGTAGTCTTGGTGGAGGGTCTCCCAAGGAATGTATCTGTAGACATGTCAATTTCATTTCTTTCAAGTGCGAAGGCCGATGTAAGCCCTCCTTATTCTTCCTATCCTTCAAGGATTTCGTTATTGGTTCATGAATTTTGTCAAGAAAGAAATGAAATGCCAAAGAGGAAGACAGACTGGTGTGCATTCATCATGCGCAAGTCATGCGAATACAGTGCCGAATAACAAAATTCCATAAGCTATATGCTTATTATGGTTGCTACTAAACTAGTTGATCAGAGTCCTCTCTTTCAACTTCAGGAACTAGCGCAAATATAGATAATAATACTTCATTTAAACAACCAACGACTCTTTGAACGTTCACAATTCATCTAATAGTTCTTGAGCTGTTTTTTTTTTTTTTTTTTTTTTTTTTTGTATTCGGTATTCAAACCCTAAAGTGATTTGACATGTTTAATGTTCTCTAAAGGAAAAAACACTTCATACCTGGAGTTCCACATTCTCAACATTTAAACTTGAGAGCTCTAATTAAGGATGGGAAGAATCTGATCCATTTCACAACACAATCAACTTTTTAGCAATCAGGTACAGGTATAGATTCCAAGGGAACTGTCACATCTTTTAATCTGTATCCTAAGTTGGTGCCATAAAACTTAGACACTTTAAGCTTTGTTTGGGCAGTTAAGTAAGAACAAGTCTGAATTTGGATAAATCGAGGGAATGGAGGCATTGTTTGGTTGGTTATTTGGAATAGCTAAGTTAGTAGAAGTGATGGTAAGAATTTGACTGCACTATAGGCATATGAAAGAATAGGTGTGAGGTGCGTGGTGGTACAAGGACAGTTTCTGCAAGGGAATATAGGGAATGGAACCACCCCTTTTCCACTACACTTAGACTTAACTGATTGGCAATGGCTCATGACGTAGGCTCCAAGTTATTCAAGTTGTTGCTTCTAAATAATGCCTGAATCGAGTAATAGATCAATTCTATGTGACCCTTCCCTAGCTAATGCTTTTCAGCATTGCCCGTATATGGATTCTATTTGCTTATATGCCTAGTTTTGCTGCATATGGGAAAGAGTAGGAATATCCTTTCTATATTAACTTTATGTTTTGTATTTTGTTTACCTCGAAAAATGAGTTTAACAATTAAAGATATTTTGTGGTTTTAAAGATACGTGATATATTCTAATACTAGTGATTATACCAGTAATATTGAGCTTAAGTAAGAAGAAACAATGAACCAAATTGATGTTGTTGGAACTGTAGGGGGCCTCGAGCTCGACTATCCAGGGACCTCGAGGTCAGCTAAGACCAATAAAGTATGAACAATAAAGTAAAGACAATAAAGCTGAAGAATAATTGCTGAGCACGTTAAACAAGAGAAGAATAATAATGTTCTATTGCAGTGAATGATCTGTTCTCTCTTTACAAAATGATTGGGGTCCCCTTTTTATAGGAGGAGAAATCCCCAATATAGTACATTCCTTATAAAAGTAAAGAATTCTATTGGTACAGGTGTATAACGGTCTAGTACGGACCTGTACCATTTTTTACAACCCTTATCCTATAATTAATGCCCAGGTCCACGTGTCCTTGAGAAATTCCCGCTCTTTCTTGATTGACTTCGAGATTGCGACACCCTCGATGCAAGTCGTGCCAGGCCCTCGATCAGCTTCCTCGAGGCGGGTGTTCCTTAGCCGGATCTGATCTCCACTTCGAGTCTCCCGGACTCACCCATAGCCCGATTTAAGACTTCGAAATCATGCTCCCTCGATTTTGACCGTATACAGATAGTCCCCACGTTTCTTAGAGTAAGATGATAAGAAACGATTTGAACCTCGATTTTCCCGGGACCCTCGCGATGATGTCATGCTCGTGACGTAAGCACTTGAAGTGATCGACGCGTCCCATCGGTTCATCTCCCAAAAACATTGAACGTCCCGCCGGTCATTTCACCAAAAGCATTAAATGTGCCGCCAGTCCATTTCCCCAAAAAGCATTGAATGCATGTCAGCATCGGTCGGCCACTTGTGCCGCCGAACCGTCACCGACTTTCTATAAATAGGGGGCTATTTGGCTGAAAAACTATTCACATTCCCTCTTCATCAACTTTCGGCCCTTTCCTTTCTCTATCTCTTCTTCTAATCACCCACTTTTATGGTTCAAATCTGTGACATCAAGGTCACATGGCAACAACCTTACCAGCTATGCCAAGGCTCCTTCTCTTTTTAAAGCTTTATCCCACTGGGTGGGATTATACTGGGTTGTTGTTGTTGTTGTTGGCATTGTTGGCTCGAAACAACGAGAGAAGGCACCTAATTCTTCCCGTATCGGAAGATATGTGAACATTACACAGCTGCTCATCTCTCTTAACTTCAACCTGGTGTGACGCTTCATTCCTTTTGCTTTCCGTGGAATGAGGTGGCACTATCATCTACTAACTTTTGCATCCCACACCGTTACAATGTCTCAAGAAGTGGCTTCACAATAGTTGTGCTGACAAGACCTGTACTCGCCAAGTTTTACACCAGGCCACAATTTTCCCTAAAGATCGAGATGGAGTCCCCGAGGAGGAGGTTCTCGAAGATGTCGCTTTCGAGGATATGCCCCCAAAAGTAGATTAGGTTCTTGGCTTTAGTTTTGGCTCATTTGTTTCTGTGTAAGGACCCATCGTGGGCTTTGTAAACATCTTTTGTTAACAAAAGAATTTCTCTATTTTATCTTCGATTCGTATTGAATTCCATTATGCCTTCGTTTGTGGAAAACCATAGCGTATAACTCTAACGATTAGTCCGAATACTGGGCCCGGAACATAATAAACCCTTAGGTTTTTAACCGACTGATATAAACCCTTAGGTCTTTGTTAATCCTCGAGCTAGGTTTAGATTGATTTAATGCGAGCTCGGGACACCGGGACTCCTGAGTCTGAGTTGAGTGACATCAAGGTCTCGAATTTAAAATAAAGTTAACTCTTTTAGGCTTCATAGATAGTCCCCGAGTGGGAATTTTCTCGGACCCGGGTAGCCCTTGGGCTTAGTAGTCGAGTGAGTGTTTGCTCGAACTCGAAAGAGAGATAGCCGTTAGGCTTTATAGATAGTTCTCGAATGAGAATTTCTCGAACTCAGGTAGCCCTTGGGCTAGATAGTCGAGTGAGTATTTGCTCGAACTCGAAATAAAGATAGCACTTAGGCTTTATAGATAGTCCCCGAATGAGAATTTGCTCGAACTCGGGTAGCCCTTGGGCTTAGTAGTCGAGTGAGTATTTGCTCAAACTCGAAATAAAGATAGCCCTTAGGCTTTATAGGTAGTCCCCGAATGAGAATTTGCTCGAACTCGGGTAGCCCTTGGGCTTAATAGTCGAGTGAGCGTCCACTCGAACTCGACTTGTAGATTGTCCTTAATGATTTCTGACAAACTAATCCCCGATGTCTAGGTTATGATGTCAACATCATGACACAAGCGGTTGAAGTGACTGAAGGGTTGCTTTTTGTACGATTCCCAAAATCATTAATTGTAGGCGGCTGAAGATCGGCCTTTTGGCTTCCTCAACACGTTTAAACGATCTTTATAAATAAACAAATCCCATAACCTTACAAACTTTATTCCCCTAGTGCTTCCAAAGTCTCATTTAGCCTTTTTCAATTTCCTTGAACTCTCCCTTCTCTTTATTAACAACATTTTTTATCTTCTTGGATCTACCGCATAGTGATGGCTAAAACTTCCAAATCTGTTCCCCTAAAGGAAAAAGCTCCTTCATCTTCTCGATCGACCAAGAGTAAACCGGTAGTGCCACCTCGTATCGAGGAATGCATCCCCCCACCGTGTGAGATAACATCCGATTTCAAAGTCGAAAAACCTGTTTCCACGCCAGGCCGATGCGAGCCTATGTCTCGATATATTTGTTTGGTGACCAAGGCCGAGCTTGATCAAGTAAAAGAGGATTGTGAATGGGACAATAAGGAAGTAGTGATTCCTTCCTCCGAAGAAGATATCACCACATACAAAGCGGGGTACTTGAGTGTATATACTTACCCGTTTACACTGGGCCCTGCAATTCCGACCTAGGGTCCTATAGATCCTGTTATCCTCGACTTTTGTCAACGGTACCGAGTGACGCTCGGCCAGATCTACCCCTCCTTCTGGTGAATTGTTTACTTAATCAGATTCTTTTCGAGCCAAATATAGGGGATGTCTTTCACCCTCGATCATTTGATCAGATTGTACAGTCCCCGACTTTATCGGGGAGGCTTGATAAAGTTGCAACGCCGATCCTTAAAATCTCTGTTTGTTAGTATCGATGAGGACAAAAAACGTGGGTGGATGAGCCGGTTTGTCCGAGTCAAGACCTCCGATCTCATTCTTGCTGATTGGATGCCGTTCCCCGAGGAGTGGAACATGAAGCGTGAGTATACCCTGCTTCCTTCTCTTTTCCCGACTTTATATTTTCCTTTGACCTAAACTCTTTACGATGGTGTAGCCGCTGCTTGGTTTCCTGGTGGGGTCCCGAACCTCGAGGGCTGGATCCGAAAGCTGGCCTCCGCCTCCCCTTACTCGGAGCATTGTTGGCGAGATTTAGCCAAGGGTCGATGGGTGGCAAAAAGCCATGGTGAGTTCTTTCGTTCGTTTTTCAGCGTTTCTGTTACGGGACACTGACCTTGATTTTACGCAGGTCTTGGGGACGCCATTGAATTGAGGTAGGCCCCAGCTGGTGAAGTGGAGGCTCCGAAACCTACCAAAGAAAGGAAAAGAAGAAAGGAGACATCTGAAAATCCCCCGAAGCCAAAGAAGAGCGCGGCCCGAAGGCCTAAGGTCGATACGGCGGCTCTATCTCCGGAAACGGCTCAACGCCTTCGGGAACAGGAGGAAGAGGAAGAAGATGATTGCCTGTTGGTCAATCGTAAAAGAAAGAATGCTGATGCTCCGAAGCCCGTCGAACAAGCAACGGCTGATGAGGCCCACTCCCGAGCTGAAGAGATTTCTGAAGGGAGTTCAAACAAAGTCCCCGAACCATCATCCAGAAAGAAGGTGCCTCGCTTAGGAGATCATTATGAGGGAGAAGGCGAACGTCCTGACCCCAAGCCTTTTCAAATACAAGAGAATGTCCCGAGCGGGTCTCTCGGGGTGATCAACGTGGATGATTCTCCCCTTGGCCCCGAGTTCTCTGATGGGCAAATCCGGGAGGCTATGAACAACATGAGATCTTTTGGAGTGGGAGTAAACCATGAAGGGCACGACATCTTTCGAGAATGTCTCGAAGGGCTTGATGACGGCCCCGACCCCGATGCTTCTTTCATTTTTAATGAGGTATGTAGACTCTTCAAACAAACGAGTTTTCTGTTTCTTGCGCCTTTGTTTTAGCTGTTCCGAATCTAACTTTCTTTCTTTTCCATGTAGGCTATGGTGCTCCATAAAAGGACATTTTCCAAGTCCCGAGACGATCTTGCCCGGTGCGAGGCCGAGATCAAGAAAACTTTAGAGGAGAGAGACGCCGTAAAAGCCTTATATGCTAAGAAAGCGTCGAAGATTCATAATCTACAAGCTGAGTTGACGCAGGTGTGCCAAGATCGAGCCGAGTATGTCGAGAAGGTTAGATAGTCCCCGAGAGTTTGTTACGCACTTGTTTTGTTTTGGTGGCTAACTTTGTTAATTTCGCAGTTCAATCAGAAAGCCGATGTGGAGACGCAACTTCGGGAGGAGCTTATGGTAAAAGAAGCCGAGGCCCTGGGATTGGGGCGAGGTATGGATGATCTCGCTTCTGAGAAGGAAGCTCTAAAAGAGCAGTTAGCTTTGCTCGAACGCTAGCTTCGAGGCGCGAAGGAGGAGAGCCTAGCTCGGGGCCTTGAAATCGAGGAGCTTAAAACCAGATCTGCTGCTGAGCTGGCCAAGGCCAAATCTGATGCTGCAGCCATTATGGCCTCGTATCAAGCTGATGTAGAAGCTGCTAATGCCCGGGCAAGGGAGATTTCTTCTACGGCGGAGGCTAAGTTAACAAGTACCCTGGACCATGCTAAGCGACAATCCCGGAGGATGACTCTCGAGGAGATACATGCTCGCGGCTTCGATCTTTCAGCCGATATTGAAGCGGAGAAGGTTTTAGAAGAAGAGGCGGCCGCTCTAATTTCCGAGGAGGATGATTCAGCTAGTGCCTCCGAGGGTAAAGGAGATGGGGATGAAGCGCCGAGGATGAGACTCCCCGAGAAGCGACTCCTGAGGATGCGGCTGCTAAGGATGTGACACGGAAGTAGTTTTAGGTTATTCTATTTTGCTTTCTTGTAGACCTCCCTTGTGTAAATATTCCCTATAATCATCTTTTTGGAAATACAAGGGGAACTTTTGTCTTGTCTTTGGTTTGGGCTGGATTTAACATTGTCTTTATTTATGGAAGACTTCGTTTGAATGACCAATCCGAGGACTGGTTTTTTAGGGCTCGGGATGTCATAAACCCTTGGATCTTTGTCGATAGATATAATAATCTTCGAGCTGAGTTTTAAATCGATCCGAGGTAAGCTCGGGATATTGTGAATCCTTGAGTTCGGATCGGAGCGGGAGCGGAGTCTCGAGCTATAAGTTTTTGGCTCTCGAGCTTTTCGAAGTTGGCTCTTGGGCTCCTATATATCGGCCCTTAGGCTCTTTTAGGATTAGCCATTAGGCTCTTTAAGTTGGCCCTTAGGCTCTTTAAGTTGGGTCGATTCAGCCTCTTAGTATGGCTATATAATTTTTCCCTCATTTCGGCTTAAAAGACTTAGTGAAAATTTAATTATGCATTAGCATGTGGTTTTTGTACCCGTAGGTTTTTCGAAGGTCTAACGTATCAGAACCTTATTAGTGATTTGTTTGTGTAAACATAATCGATTACCTCTTGAGGTGTTTCCACGGGTCAATGTTATCGAAGCCCTTGGAATTTTCGATGGCTGAATTTATCGAAGCACTTTGAATTTAGCTTTTGCCGAGGATAGCCTGATTTAACCGGGTTTTACGAAGTGTTTGAAGGCCTTTTAATTTATAGCGGAGGTCGGACGTGTCTGAGCCGCATTATTTGGCGGTGGCCTTTATATGACCGTAGTCTTTTATTTGGCCGTAGCCTTTATATGACCGCAGTCTTCTATTTGGCCGCAGTCTTTGGGTATGTCACTTGGACTTGTTACCCCATCACTTTCCGAACTTGTTCGAGAAGTTAAACCCCGAGAATATTGGCCTTGGCCTTTGTTTCGAAGGGGTGCCTCTTTGAGGTCTTTATTAATTCGAATTTTGATGGTAGTCCCCGAGTGTTCGGGATGCTTCTATGTCTTGGCTTTTAAGCCGTTTCCCGTAGAATTGTAAGTGTAGAGCTTGTATGAGACACAAAGTATTTTTGATATATCCTGAATGTTTCTTCAAATAGTCGATACATGTTTACCTGTTTTGCTTCTATATGGACACGGCTCGTTTGACCGTTTGGCCCATTACAAAGTTTTCCTATCGAGGCCCATTTAGGCGTGAAATATTTTTCTCAAAAATGTAACCTCCGAGGGTGATGCCCCCCAGTATTCGAGGTTGATTGAAAAGAAGCCTTGAATACTTGTTGGCCGTTCCTTGGGTAGCATATAGGTGTTGCCTCGTTAAAAACCTTGCGGGTAAAACCTATTTGGGACAAAATCCGAGCTAAGGGAAAAAGAGCGCAACGTATGCTTTATAATCTACGGCCTTTGTGTAGGAAGGGAGGTTCTCGAGAGCACGAGCCTTTGAGAGCTTCCATTGTGCCGAGCATGTAAGCTCCTTTACCAACAACTCCGAGGTCTTGCTGTCCGTGACCATGATATCTCCGAGGGCCTTGACCTGGTCGGGGATGATTTCGGTGCCCTGATTTGACGTCGCGAAGGCCGAGAAACTCAGTCGCCCCAACTCCGAGGGAACGCTTTTCTGGAATGAGCTTTGTGTCGTATTGCCCCGAAATGTTGATTAGTTCTTGCAAATAAATTAAAGTGGTCCTCTGCGCACAGGGACTTAACCAGTCATATCATCAATATAAGTTTTAATTATTTTACCTGTTCATCCCTCGAGCGGAATCCCTGTCATATCGAAGCAATGCAATCTATATCATTGACAAGAAACTAAATGAGTTTTCTCCTGAGAGCGGGGACTAATCCCGTTCTCAGGTGTACCTTTCTTTTCAGCGGTTGGCTTGGTAGCATCGGGCTTCCCGGGAACAACGAGGGTTTGAGGATCTGGGGAATTCCTTTCTTCGCATTCGGTTACCTGTTATTCCGCTTCCGTTGATGCTCGGAGCTGTTACTACTACTTAGCCACCTGCTTGCCTTTGGAGGTCGATGTTTCCGAGGTCAAGGGTTCCGGTATCGGCACCACTTCCTCGATTGCGAACATCTCTTTTGCAGCATGCTGTTCTCCGTGGACTGTTTTCACTCCTTCCTCTGTTGGGAACTTTATCATCTAATGGAGAGTTGAAGGCACTGCCATATTGTGTATCCACGGCCTCCCGAGGAGTGCGTTGTACCTCATGTCACCTTCGATGACATGGAACCTGGTGCCTTGGATGGTCCCGGCTACGTTTATAGGCAAGATAATTTCTCCCCTCGTTTCACTTGCCATATTGAAGCCATTCAGCACCCGGGATGCAGGTACAATCTGATCTTGCAGGCCGAGTTGTTTCACGACCCTCGATCTGATTATGTTCGCCGAGCTACCTGGATCCACTAAAACACGCTTAACCTGAATTTTATTCGAAAGGATAGAGATTACGGGGGCGTCGTTGTGAGGCTGGGATATGTCTTCTGCTTCCTTGTCGCAGAATGATAGAGCGTCCTCGGGCACATAGCTCTGAGTCCGTTTTTCCTTTGTGATGGATACTTTAGTCCGTTTGAATGTAGGTCCTTGCGGGACGTCGGCTCCTCCGATGATCATGTGAATGACATGTTGGGGGTTTTCAGGTTCATTCTTCCTATTTGCATCTTTTTCTCGGAAATGGTTTTTTGCCCGGTCACTGAGAAGTTCACGAAGGTGTCCTTCGTTGAATAGTCGAGCTACCTCCTCTCTAAGTTGTCTGCAATCCTCGGTCTTATGCCCGTGAGTACCATGGTACTTACACATTAAGTCGGGGTTTCTCTGAGAAGGATCTGTTTGTATGGGCTTGGGCCATCTAGTATCTTTAATTTTGCCAATGGCTGAGACGATATTTGAGGCGTCGACATTGAAGTTGTATTCGGATAACTTGGGACCCTCCACTCGTCCCGAGCGCCTGTCGGACCCGATTTTGCCCACGAATCCCCGGGAACTTTGGCCTCGATCTATTCTTCGATTATTCCGAGGTGCATTACGCCTTGAAATGTTCCTTCTGTCTTCAATGTACGGTTGATATATTTCCTTGTTGAATCTTGATCCCCGATCTGTTTCCCTCGGGGGTTTGACTGCGAATCTATTCGGGTGAACTGAGCCCAAGGGGGCTCCTAACTGGTCGTCCTCGACCCTAATTTTTGACTGATACCGATTGTGCACATCCGACCATGTCACAGCTGGATACTCGATCAAATTCTGCTTTAGCTGTCGAGATGCTATCGAGCTTCTTTCATTCAGACCTTGCATAAAGGCCTGAACTGCCCAGTCATCGGAGACCGGGGGTAGTTCCATCCTTTCCATCTGAAACCGGGACACGAACTCCCTTAGCATTTCGTTGTCCCTTTGTTTTATCTTGAATACGTCTGATTTTCTTGTGGCCACCTTTATGGCCTCGGCGTGTGCCTTTACGAAGGCATCCGCCAACATAGCAAATGAATCAATAGAGTTAGGAGCTAAGTTATGATACCAGATCATAGCTCCCTTTGATAGTGTTTCTCCAAACTTTTTTAACAATACTGACTCGATTTCATCATCATTCAAGTCATTTCCTTTAATTCCACAAGTGTAAGAAGTAATGTGTTCATTAGGGTCAGTTGTTCCATTGTACTTCGGTATATCGGGCATGAGGAACTTCTTGGGAATGGGCATCGGAGCCGCACTCGAGGGGAAAGGTATGAATTTTTTGGCATCTAGGCCCTTCAAAATTGGAGTTGCTCCCGGTATCTGGTCTACCCGGGAGTTGTAAGTTTCCACCTTTTTATCGTTGTCTTCTATCTTCTTTTCTCCTGACTCGATCCTTTTAGTCAGTTCCTCGAGCATTTTCATGATTGTGGGGTCAGTCCCTGAGCAAGCTTTCATCGGGTCTTTCTAACACTGGTTCATGCCGTGTGTTTACTGGTTCGGCGGTGTTAGGAGTTCTGTTCTGACTTTGGAGTTGAGCGATGGCGACTTGCTGAGCTTGCAACATCTCGAAAATTACTTGGAGGCTGATCCTCCTCCTTCCAGTCCTCGTGTTTTCTGGCCTCCGGCCTGGGCTTCCCTGTGTGCATTTCTTACGGGGTCTGTGCCTGTGTCCGTGTTTAGAGCGTTGTGGGACCTGATATCAACTGGCTCCACATTTGGCACTCCTTCAGGGTTTGCGGGTGGTACACCGAGCCCTATGCCGCTGTTTTCTCCAAGTCTTTCACTATCGTGAGCGGGTGCGTTTTGTGTGCTAGACATGATTAAGCCTGAAATCAAAGAATCTTTGACAAGAAAAGTGTGAAGAATAACGTGTGTTATCAGAAAACTAGCACTAAAATAATCACTATTATCTTTAGCCCCACGGTGGGCGCCAAACTGTTTACCTCGAAAAATGAGTTTAACAATTAAAGATATTTTGTGGTTTTAAAGATACGTGATATATTTTAATACTAGTGATTATACCAGTAATATTGAGCTTAAGTAAGAAGAAACAATGAACCAAATTGATGTTGTTAGAACTGT